CCAAACTAATCCTCATTAATTGACTAAACATTGTAGGCTACCAACCATTGTAGGTGCCAAACTAATCCTCATTAATTGACTATTGCTAACACATAAATGCTGAAAATTTTCAAAAAATTTTCATCTGCAGAAATCTGATGGCATTGGAGCAATTGGCATGGGAAGCACCATCAACATTGATTTCTGTACATCTTGTTCTTACAGGTTTCTGTGCTATTTCTTAGATGACATTTTCCTGATCTCATCAATTATTGAATTTGAAAATGTTTTGTTTAAGTGGTATTTTTTTGGTGTAGAGATGGATGCAAGTTATTTTTTTTATGTTAATTTAATCCTGTAATTTGGATCCTTATTTGTATGGTTGTCTCAGAGGAAGTGCATTAACAATGAAAAACATGCTGGGAACAGCTTTTCCTGGGATCAACGTAATTCTGGCAAACCACCCTCCTCCACTTCCAAGACGGCTGCTGAGCAAATTGGTACCTGTTTTTCAAGTAGGGATCATCGGGACGATAATGGCGGGCGAACATATTTTCTCGAGGTTGGGGATTACAACGCCACCTCCTTGGTACCACTCCTTGAAAGCAAATAGATTTGGAAGCATTGCAAGCACTTGGATTTTGGGAAACTTCATACAATCCTTCCTTCAAAGTACAGGAGCTTTTGAAGTCTATTGTAATGGGGAATTGGTATACACTCTAACCTCGTCCAAATTTCCAACGGCCAATTTTTCTTCATTTCTGTCTCTTCTGTTCACCATGTGTATCTTCTTGGACTTGGTAGGTCTTCTCGAAGCTGAAGGAGCAGAGGTTCCCTAGTGAGATTGAGTTGAGGGATCTTGTTGGGAAGAACCTCGGTAGTTCGAGAACCGCTGACGGTCTTGGAGGAGGGGCCTGGTCTTAGTGTCCTGTGGGAGGGGACGTTACCTTATCTTTTGGTTGCTATGAAAGCAAGATTGCCTTGTTGCTTATATGCTTTATAAAAGATGCATGAACTGCCACACGATTGAATAACCACAGTTGTTCATAACATTACTCAAAGCTGTTTACCGGACAAACATGTCTAAATGAAGAGACTAAGTGCGCTTGACAATTACTTTTCGAATTTCCTTTTTCCTTTCATATTTTGGTACAATCATGAGTGTAAAATTAAAATGCGGCTTGCAATGTTCTGAAGCCTAGCTACATAAATTACTTTGCATCAAAGGCAACAATGGCATGACAATTCTATACACTGTAGCAGAACGACCTCTTGAATATCTGCTGGATCACAAGCTACAGATGGTGTTCTTAATTGAATGACCTCGTCTTTCAGGTGCTGCAGAAGGGTTCTCAATCTCCCCTCTCTCGACAGGACCAGTAATCCAGGAGATGGAAATTCAAACATAAAGCAAATAAAGCCAAACTTCTAAATATGCCACCATTTTCGACCTTCCAATTTCTTGACAAGCTCATTAGCCAGTGATGCAAAGTCTTCTGCCCCGTTCTGCAGATCTTCAGTGCGCCTGCTGATTCTCTGATAAAAGTGAAATTTTGGAATTAGAGAAAGGGAAAAGGAAGAGTTACTTTAAGAGTCATTTAAACATTTGCTAGTTGAAGGTAACCTAGAAGAACGAAATGAGATTAAAAATGAAAAATACCGGTCAAATATTTGGCTTAGACCATGAAAGCATGGTGTTCTATTCTATCATTAATAGTTGTGTGTGTGAACTCATATTGAAGATAATACTTTTTAAACCCTGCCCAATGACAATTTCACAACATTCTCCTTTTAACAAAGTATCAAATGAGATGCAGATAGTTTCTAACTCTTTCAATCTGTTCACCTAATTTCCTAATATCTTTGCAGGGGAAGAAAGAAAAGAATAAAACTCTTCCATGAATCCTACCTCAAGTTTTTCTCCCCTCTCCATGAGCTTATTTCTTGCTTGAGAAGCCACAGAAGAAGCATCCTGAAATGAGTTCTGACCACATCAGAGAAGACAATTGATTTACAGAGTAGTTTATCTATCATGTAAACTATCATCATCACTTGATATTACCTCAGCCTTTCTGTATTTAGCTCTAATTTCTTCGGCAGTTCTAAGTCTGGGCTTTGTATCACCAGTTCCACCTTGAAATAACTTTTCCCTTTCTGATTCCCCTTCTGCAGTACAAAATGTTCAATGAAAGTATTATTCTACTTACTAACCTCTACCAAAAAAAAAAAAAAAAGGAAGGTCAAATACTACAAAAAGTTTACCTCTCTTGATATCATGTGATGATGAAGTAGATGCTACGGATAGAGGTTCATCTATTTCAATGTCATCTATATGAAAAGCATTGATTGAGTGAATAATCAACTGGGAGAAAGAAGGAAAAAGGAGGGAAATGGAGATAGGTTTGCACAAAACCTATGTTCAGCTCCACCCCTTCTTGATGATCTACATATGGGGATGGGCCTGACTGTTGGGACTTCCAAAACATTTCCTCTAAATGATCAAAATTTGATTTAGGAGTTGCAGCAGAATCCCCAGTATGGACCATTTTCCCACCTTTAAGTCCTTTGACAATACCTAATAACCCAGGCGCAGTACCCTGTAGCCAAAAAATTACATAAGGGAAAATAATACATTCTTCACCAAATAAAAACCTAATTAAACTGAATTTTGTTTTCTAACCCGTTTCTTTTTCTGATTCAAAGATACACTCAACGCAACATCTGCAGCAGCTGCCACAACTTTATCATGGAGACAGGGCAAAGACTCTGGAATCCTACAACAAACAGATATAAAATTTCCAAAATTATCTTTCTAACTAAAAATTCATGTCCGAACCATAATGCTCAACTTCATATTTCCATCACAGCACTTATAGATACATGAATATATAAAAAATACCTGAAACCATTCTCAACAGCTAACATAGAGACGAATGCGGATTCATATCCATTTGCCTATAAAATATCTTCAGCATGAGTCTTACATTATTCAACATACATGGTAACTTTCAAGAGATTAAGTGCAAATCGCACAATTTTTGAAATTTTCAAGAAGACAACTATACCAGTGTAAAATGTGAATCATCGGCACTCATTGTCTTATCCATGTTTGCCTTACAGTTCCACCTTAGAATTGACATTAAGGAGCTTTCTTTCACCAATTCTAAATCAGGAAAAGATCTGCCCATGGATAGGAACCTCTCATTAGACAACCAGTAATGCATATACATCTACAATATCAATCAATAAACAAGCAGTAATGCAATCATAAAATGAAGGAAGAGTAACCCCCACTAGAAACATTGGTACTTGATGCATTGATAAGGTACTTAATGCTGCATAACCTATATCATTTTCTTGATTACTGGGGCAAGGAAAGAGAAACTTTACCTAATCTCAATTTCTCCAGTCTGAAACAGCAAAACCAATCCCGAAACCCTATCAGCTTTCTTAAAAGTAGCTGTCCAAATGCAAGGTCTTGCATGCTTCACTTTTTGAATGGGTTTATTGTTTCCCTGACAAGACCACAGTGCATCAGCATGCTTGCCAAAATAAAGTAGCAAACAAAAATAAAGAAGGCAAGAGGCACCTGAATCACAGATTTTGTTGAGTACAAGCGCAGTGAATCCACACAACAAAGCAAAATGAATGAATTCAACAATATTTCTTCAGAGTAAGGATTTTCTGAAGAGGAGTTTTGTTCAGTCTCAGGTGAATTTATAACAATTGGAGACCTGCCTGGCACAGGCTCATTCTTGGTTGAAGAATCCTTGGAGGCCTCTTCTGGAAGATTATCATCAGATACTTTAGAGGCAGATATTCTGCCATCTGGAGTACCCCAAAAAAAAAAAAAATTCTCAGAATTCTCTAATTATTAAGTGAATACGAAAAATAAAGTATTTTATTATTCTCTGCTAGAAGATATCTGTACTTGCCTATAACATACATTGAAATTGCAATTGACTCCTTTTTCAAGTGCCATGACTGAGGGATGATCATGTTACCGGTATTTCCATCAATTACATGTATATGTGCATCCTTGGTTAAGATGAACATTACTTCCTCTGTGGGGTAAACTGTTGTTTTTGTTTCTGAGTGCTTTGGGCTCTTCAAGAGGCCTTGAGAATTTGTAAGTTCTTTCCAAGTCATTGAAATGGTGGGGGAACTAGAGAAAGATACATCATTTAAAAAGAACAATACAGAAAAGGAGCTGGTGTCCAGCACCGCGACCTGAAATGAATGCATTAAATTCAAAAATTATTTTAATTTTAACAACTTGAGGTTATGGGCCAACCTTCAAATTGAAGACAATAAAAAAAGTTATAAATTCACAAGTAGAAAAAAGATACTTACGTGACCACATTCAAATCCCACAGCAAGTTTACCTCCATGCTTCACAAACTGTAGTGCTTGAACTGGGGAATTAATAAGACTTAAAACAGCTCTGCATTGAGGTCCTTTTCCTTGAGGCAAATTGTGAACTGATAAACAAGTTATAACATTGTTAACTTCATAAATAAATGTTCTTTAAAAACCGCTTCAAGATAAATTTAACAGTATAATCTGGTTGCAGAAAGTAGAACATGGTTTCACATCTTATGGACTGTGCAATGGAAAAACAAAACAACGGTTTTACAAAGTCAAGGAGATTGACACTCATAACCTACCTTCCGATTTGGATTCTGTGACAAAGAGGAATTTTGTCCCATCTGAACAGTCTTTGAGGTTATAAATTTGAACCTATACATGCTAGCAGAAAGACAATCAGTATGGTAAAAGTTAGAAGTGAAAATTGGTGTCCAATAAAGAAAGATATCTGACCAGACCACATTCTTTGCCAACAGCCAGATTGAAAGTGAAAACGCAGAAATCCAGTCTTGATACTGGAGCACTTGAACCAGCCACTTTTATACCTTGCACCTGCCAGTTACATGAGATAATTTGGTATCTCCTTTATAAAGACAAAAGTTTATAAGGCTAAAGTGATGAACTCTAACCTCGCCTTGTACAAGACAGATAAAAGATAAGAGTGGATATGTGGCATTCCATATCCGAACAGATCCATCTGAATATCCTGCTAGGTACACTCTCTCAATACCGTTATTCTTAGAAATAGACAGTTGACTGGGCACACCCCCAGTCAAGGGCCATTTTGTACCAGCTGATGGGTTTGGTATTGAGCCACGGTTCACAACTGAGGATATCTAAGATACACATAAACAATAAATAATTTTGTGTTGAGAAACAGTAAAAGGAATATGTAAGAGCCACTCATGAATGAAAGAAATCCAAATCCTCCCATAGAGCCTTAATGGGATATATCATATAAGAACGGGAAAAATAAAAGGAAAAAATATATCCGCTCATGCAATACCTCTGATAGAGCCTTTAATAAGTTCTCCCCAGTGGGTACCCTAATAAGTTTGGCAACCGTCATGGTTGGATTAGTTGTAGGTATCACCACCGGAAACTCCAAACCAGAAATAGAGGGGTTCCTTTCTTTCTGGGACACTAAGGCAGAGAGGCTAGCCTCATCATAAAAATGCAGTTGCCCAGGGTTTGTTAATACAAAAACATCGGCTTTGTGATTACCCCCAGTTGTCCCAGAACTTGGTAATAAAATCATGTCTGCAAAAGAGCCAGTAAGGGTAAGGTCCGTACGGCCAACACATCTTAAATTCGCCATTCCAGGTGACCATTCAAGAGTTAAAACCTGCAACACAGAGAATCTTATCAGCTCCTGTCTTCAGTGGCAGTAAATAAACAAGACAAACTCTAGTATATACAACTGTTGATGTACAAAATGTGAAAAGGTTCTTTTTTTGAACATTAACTGGTATACAAAACCAACCCTGTCATTAAAATGTGAAAAGTATTTTACCATTTCTAGGCATGTTACAATGTTTTCAGAAAGTGCACCGTTTTGAAATATATAAAATTTTCTGAAAAAAGCCATGAACTTTTCTGTAACTACAGTACACACCGTCAAAACTTCTTCCGATCCTATTTCATCGCCACCATAGATAAACAGTTGGCCATCACAATCATTATGGGATTTATACTCTTTGGACCACTGTAAGACAATGACAGGAAGTCTCCTTTCTGCTGATGATAATCGTAACTTCACAACATTATTAGATGGTGACAATGCTTGTTGACCCTTGATGGAAGCAAGAGATGACGTGTTCCAGAATAAAATGTCACCATCTATGTATCCCACAGCCAGAATGGACCCATTGGAAGATGCCCAGCAAAGAGCACTTATCTCTTTGTCTCCCAGTTGATGTTCCAATGTTTCTTCTGGAGAGTCTATATTGACTTCATTCGTAGATTTAACAACTCCATCCTTTAGCTGGAGATCCTTACCACCTCCAACAAAAACGATTTGATCTTCAGATACATCCCAAAGAATAACCAACCCATTTTGATATGCGATCAGTACTCTGCCAATAAAAAAACCCTCATCATTCAATAAGCTGAATGGATAAACTATACTGTAACTTTTCTCATCAGTTTTACTTTGTAGTCCCGAGTAATGCGATGTAACCTCATTAATAAGTCCCATGCTATCAAGGAAGTAGAAATATAACACACCGAATGGGGCTAACAATTGGATTCATTCATGGGATACCAAGCAACTTTATTCAGACTCAATAACAAAAATCAGCAGGGAGCCAAAATTATGTACCCCTTATATATCACTAACATTAGTCGAAACTGCAACAATTTTATTTAATGTTCCACCATGTCCAAGTACTTTTTGATCCTTCATGACCATAGGAAGATTTAAATTTGTGTTCTTCTTAAGGTGCAAACGTGACACTCTGCCCTTTATTGGTGAGAGTAGTAGCGGGTTTGAAATATCTTGATCTTATGACTTACCTAATAAGCCACTCTAAGAGAAAAAGAAAGTGGTCTTTTAGCTGCTAAAATTTCAATCAATACATGGTTCTTTATGAAAATGGATAAGATGACCCTAAAATGAAGAAATGAACGAATAAAAAATAGAAATACCCTTAAGTTAACATCAATTTCCTGTATACATTATCATACTGGAAGGATCCAAAAAAGTAAAATAAAATGATTCAAGGCCCATTCTTGTTTCACACTTAAAGCAGAAATGCACACTGAGAAACTTTAAGTAATACTTGTATCTTGCCTATTTCCAGATGAACAAGGTTGGGGAAGAACTCCAACTATAGGTTGGTCAGTAGGAAATGGAAATCCAGCAGCTTCTGTAGCAAAGAACAGCTGCATTAACTTCTTTTGTGACGAGATTTATAACATTAACTAGGAAATTTATTAACTATAGAAGCAAAGAAATAATAAAATTAAAAGCTTCAGTTATCAACCATCAAACTGAAGAAAATAATTTCTTCATATATTACCACTTAAAGAATTTGCAGAAATATGATATGGCAACTGCAAAAGTTTCTACTGAGTTGAGTGTTTGAAGTTTTCGTCTGCTCCTCTGTCGACTATCGGAGGGAGACTTTCTATCTTTGTTTCAGTGATCAAACCGATGACATTTTCATAGTCATAGAGCTGTAAATTTTTCGAGTCAGTCAAATGCAATAAAAAGAAGGGGTTTCACTAAAACACCCAAAATGGGGCTGAAACTATAAAAAAACCCAACACCCAAAACACTTTATAAACACACCAAAAACTCATAATTACACACACTCAAAATCCATTTATAAACACACCCAAAAAATATACAATTGTTGATTTTTGGGGTGAACAAGTTATAAAGTGTGTGTCTCCAGCCACTCAGAAGCTGACTGAAAATAGTTCTAACAATTTCTTCGGTCAGTAGTGTACATTAAGTTGGAGCCATTGATTATGGAAAAAGCAGTTATATTCGATTCCCACTCTAGACAATAAACTAGGCACCTGCTCTCGAGATTCCAAACCTGCCAAGTTGAAAAGTTATCAATCACTTAAACAAAAGATGTTTCATTTTTAAGCACTTCATAGCATTTAAATTCTTGGCACTTGATTGTGAACTGTTTGCCAAGTCAACAGCCTCGCTAGCAGCTATCACCTGCTTCTATCTATGCGTATTCTCCCCTTTTGATAAATTCCCACATTGAAGTGCTCCTATGGTGCAATTTTGTTATAATGGTAAACCGAATGAATCCAAAAATGACCACTAAGGTCTATGCTGAATATTTAAAAGTAAAAAGGACTGATGTTGATAATTGACTACAGGAATCTAATGAGATGCATGATGTAGAAGTCATGTTTCACACAGATGGAGTTAAGTTTGACATAAGAAACAAAAACTGCAGAGTTGATAAGAATCAATACCTGAATATCATTATCATTTAAGATGCTCACCAGATAACCCTGGTTTTGTAGAAACTGCCAAAATACAATAAGGATTAGTTTGCTGACGCAGCAATAAATAATACAGAAGAATATTTAAGGATGTGTTGGAGACTAAGCTGAAAAAATAAGTTCTAGCCAAATTCAATCAAATCTCCCACAATCAGAAAATGTCATCTTGAATTTATGTATAAATCCTTTATCAAATTGTTGACATCCTTTTCTGATTTAGTTGTTGATTGAAAACATTATTAATATACTACCCTTTCCGCACGCTTCCGTATTTGTGAGAGGCTATTTTTTTAAAAAAATTTAAATTTATTTAAGAATTAAAAAATATAATGAATAGTTGTGTTTCATAAAAATATGGTATATTATTTGATTTTTCTTTTATTTTTATTTTTATTTTTATTTTTTTTAAATATGAAAAAGTGTGAATTTACCATATTATCCTCATTTAATTAATAATTTCAGTTCTTAATATTTGCAACTCTTTAAATATCTTGCTTCATGTGAAGGAACAAGTGCCAGCCTCATTCCAGAAAACCTTGATAATTTTTTTTATTTTGAATATATCACCCTGATATACTATTGATCTTTTATATCATAACTAAACAAGGGGAATAAAAGATGATTATACTGGGAAACTTTGGAATCAATGGTGCACACAGATACCTCAATGTATTTGTAAGGCAGTTGCTTCGGGGATATAAGAAGTCCTTCAATACCATCACCACCAATTACTTTAATCCTCCCATCCCTACCAAAGAAACAAAGCAATAATGTGAAATTGTTGTGTGATTTGTGTGAATCTCATATGCCATTATACATGTCTGAGTCAATTATCAAAGGGCACCAGGAAGATATAGTGTACTAAAGTATATGCAAGGTAGTCCTCTATCTGGCAGACAGCTGTGCAGGGTAAGCATGCCTTTTTTTTTTCCGGGCATCTACAAGCATACTTCACCAAATGTACGTGTGCATTTTGCCATCAAAAGAATAGCCATTCCGAGAAATATGGAACAGCAATGCTTAGTAGCTAGCAAGCCATCTTATTAACTACATGAAGGTGCACTGTGCACAGTGCTCAATAGAACGGTCTTCTATCAATTCACACACCAAAAACAGTGGAAAGAAGAATAAAAGGTCCATTTTAACTCACAATGTGCCAATTTATATAATCTCATTATAAGGACTCAAAATATGGAAAAAGAAAAATCTCTATAGAATATGGTCCGGGACCAAAAGGGAAAAACAACTTTTGTTATTGTGGCCCTTCAGCATTTACTAAAGTTTTGGGATATTTTGGAAATTATTGATTTGATTTAAGGATAATATTCTAAAATGAAACATTTATACTTTTGCGTGCCAACTCTTTCTTCTTTGGTGATCCGCCACAACAGTAACACGTAAGATCGTTTCCACTTCTCCACTTTCGTCCCCTTCCCCGCTCCATTTGCTGCTCATTTTTTTTCGTTGAAGCTCCACCGAAAGAAAACGAAAAAACAGAGAAAGACCTCCTTTTTCTCTTCCTCATCGTTTTCTCTTGAAGTTTCACAGCCATGACAGTACCTCCGACTCAAGGTACGTTGGTAGCTAGGTTCAGCTCAATCGTAGTTTCAGCTATTTGGTCAATTTTTGTTTCATTTAATTCGATTTCTTATTGCTTGTTTGAACGATCAGAAATGAAGGATCAAGCAAAAATATTTTGAACGAAACTCAGAAAACTGTAAAAGATCACTGCTTTGTGGCAGCTATATCTAATTTCTGATTGTTATGTATAAATTGACATAGAGATTAAGACTGGTTTTTTTTTTTTTAATATTTTTTTTTTAATTTTATATAAATTTCCTTTTTGGGTTTAATCCTTAAGTTCGTTTTAGAAATGAAGCCTCTTTCTTTGTACTTGAAGCTCCTCGTTGTTGATTTGGTTATTCTGCACTTGTTGTAAGCTACTCTATGGTTGTGATTTCCAATGGGTTAACTGTGGGTATTATTTTGCTGATGTCTTGCAGATGATGTTAACAAGAATGAGAGGACTAATTACTTCAATTCACCTGCAATGGATGTCTCACTTGCTTTTCCGCAAGCAACACCAGCATCTACCTTTCCTCCCTGCAGTAAGAATATTAGACTTATTAGTCCTTCACTGCACAAACATCTCGTATAAATAAATGTGTATATGTGAATGGAGAAATTCTCTCTTGTCAGTATGCTGACATGTTATGTGAATTTAGACAATTGATTAAATGGATTCTTGTTTGAATGTATGGAGTCCAGATTGAGTCTAACAACATAAGAAATTGGTATGTAACACATGTTCATGTTTGCGTATAATATACATTGTAATTTATGCATGCATACATACACACGTACATCCCTGTATGTCTTGATATTTCTGTTTCTGCATCCTAATTTATTTTCCCTACCTTGTTTCTTTCTGAATATTTTGTACACTTGAAGGCTTTAGTTGGTTGCCTGTTCCATTTGTAATTTGAAGTCAACTGGGTAGCTTCAGATATTAACTTCCATATTCTTATCTCTTGGCCTTAAATATTTACAGCTTCAGACTATTATCAATTTGATGATCTATTGACGCCTGAGGAGCAGGCTGTCAGATTGAGAGTAAGACAGTGTTTAGAGAAACACGTTGCTCCTATTATGGCAGAGGTATTCCTTTTCATTAAACTCCCATTTGGAGGTGTTTGTGTATTTTTACATTAATTCTAAAACACTTAGTATGCTATGATGATTTAATATACATGTACAGACAATGAAATAGATCTCGGAATTTTGTTTTTTCAGTATTGGGAGAAGGCAGAGTTTCCATTTCATGTTATTCCAAAGTTTGGTGCATTGCGTATTGCTGGTGGCACGATCAAGGTACTTGATACATATCTTAATAGTTATTTTTAAATCTTGAGTTTGACAATTGGGTGGATGGGCTGTTAAACTTGTTTTTGGCTTTCTTGCTCTCAGGGTTATGGGTGTCCTGGTCTTTCTATTACAGCAAGTGCTTTTGCTACAGCTGAAATTGCTAGAGTTGATGCAAGCTGTTCTACTTTCTTCCTAGTTCATTCCTCACTTGCAATGCTAACTATTGGTTAGAATTTGGATAATCTTCTACTTTTGAGTTTTTGTATTTTAAATTAACAACCCTTCACTCCACTAACTAGAACTAAATATTTTTTTCGTTACCTTTAAAACGGACACTTTTTATTTTCTTGTACCGAAATACCCCTAAAAGTTAACAAAAATCCAAAAAATCTGATTTCTTCCTTCTTTCATCCTTATCACTGTTGTGAAGAGAGAATCCCATTCTTATTGTTTCCCTGAAAAGAAAGGTAAGCATCATACCCATTTGATTGTGTTAAAATTTTAATTTAGATAGAGTTTGTGATCGAAAAATCTGGTGTTATATGGTGGAATTGAAATGGAAGACACAACTTCCTTTTTAAAAAAAAGGACATAACACCCAACATTTTAGCTCACTCAAATGGGCATGATGCTTTCTTTCTTTTCATGGTGAACGGCGAATGACGAGATTGAGTTCCTCTTTTTGTGACAGTGAGAATGGATTTCTAGCTCTCTTGCTGATTGTGAGAATGGTTTCTCCGTGAAAATGCAAGAATTAGTTTATCTCCCTTAGCAGCATAGAGAAGGAAGATTCTGAGTTTGATGTAGGAAGGAAGAAGTGACGGGAGTCAAGGTTTTTTCATGCTGGCCTTCAAAAGGAAGGAAGAAGAAGAATTTTGGTTGTATGTTTTTGCTTTTGGGGTATTTTTGGTCAAGGAATATGGAAAGTTAGTCAGATATATTACTCTTGAGTTAGGTTTGTTAGTGGGGTTGAAGAATGGTTATTTCTGGTGAAAGAAAAAGATCTAGACTTTTTGTTACATATTAGTTGTTGGAGTTTCTACCGATAAGTCATGACTTAATGTAACTTTTCTGGACTTCCAAGAATAGCATTATGTGGATCGGAGGCTCAAAAGCAGGAATATTTACCTTCCTTGGCTGAATTTAAAACTGTAGCCTGCTGGGTAAGATGCTCTATTCTGAATATTTATATTTGATATCTTTTGTATGCTAATGTCAAGATCTCAAATCTGCTCGTCTGCATGTTAAAGGCTTTGACTGAGCCTGACTATGGAAGTGATGCAAGTGCCTTGAGAACAACAGCAACAAAGGTGGTTTCAACCTTCCCATCTGCTTCTTTATTTCTGTTAAATGGAAGTGTCATGTTTTTTGGTTTTTGTTGTCTTTTGGGTCTCATGGCTATGTCACATTTCTTGTTTGTTGGGGTCATCAGGTTGAAGGCGGTTGGATACTTGAGGGCCAAAAGCGCTGGATAGGGAATAGTACCTTTGCTGATGTATTGGTTATTTTTGCTAGGAATACAACAACAAATCAGATTAATGGGTAGGAAATATTACCTGTGCTGATGTATTGGTTATTTTTTCTAGGAATACAACAACAAATCAGATTAATGGGTAGGAAATATTACCTGTGCTGATGTATTGGTTATTTTTTCTAGGAATACAAAAAAAAAAATCAGAGTAATGGGTATGTAAAACATAAAAATGTATGAAGTCTCGCTATGTGTTCGAAACTTGTTTGTTAAGCTTAAAATATGAATAATTTCTTTCTCATTATTTCTCCCATTGCATTGGTATTGAGATGCTTAGGACTCATGGAAAATTAGCGTGATGGTTTTCCATAGCAGCATCCTCATGTTGAATGTATTTGTTTTTTGTTTCCCTTCTGTTTCAGATATATAGTAAAGAAGAATGTCCCTGGACTGACAGCTACAAAAATAGAAAATAAAATTGGTTTGCGAATTGTTCAAAATGGAGATATTCTCTTAAAGAAAGTCTTTGTCCCTGATGAGGACAGGTTACCTGGTGTTAACTCTTTTCAGGATACTAGCAAGGTATGCTGCAACAAGAAGTGATTCTTCAAGCAGTTTATTTTGCTATGATCTCTCATTTTTCACACGTGTCAAAATGGCTCTATGAGTATTTATTGATTTAATGTTGCCTTAAACTACTGAAAACAGGTTCTTGCTGTTTCACGTGTCATGGTCGCCTGGCAACCTATTGGTTTATCTATGGGAGTCTATGATATGTGTCACAGGTAAAAGACATCCACCTATGCCTCTCTCATCTTCCATCAAGTGTACTTTCAAGTTTCCAGTGTTTCCTAGTCTGAGTTCTAAGTAATTGAAAGGTATCTGAAGGAGAGGAAACAATTTGGAGCCCCCCTTGCTGCTTTCCAAATCAACCAAGAGAAACTTGTTCGTATGCTGGGTAATGTTCAAGCTATGGTACTTATAGGTTGGCGCCTCTGTAAGTTGTATGAGAAGGGTAAAATGACTCCAGGCCACGCTAGCTTGGGGAAGGTAAGACAAATGACGTCCTGATGCATTTGGTAATCTTGTTGCTTATCCGTTCTGTAATGAACTTTTGTAATTTTCAGGCATGGATTACTCTGAGAGCAAGGGAAACGGTTGCTCTAGGGAGGGAATTACTAGGCGGCAATGGAATTTTAGCTGATTTTCTTGTTGCAAAGGTTATCATACTCATTTCTCAATTAATAGTTTTTTATTTCAGAACCTAGAGTAGGATTGGATCATACTAGGATTTGATTAGTCGCATTTTCAAGCTAGGACTCAAAGGCAATGATAGGATTGACTTTAAATTCGCTCTCTATCAGATTGACTTTCATGCCTATTCCGTTGTCCTTATCTTTGTTGGTAAAAGAATAGGCAACGTTTGCTATCTATATTTTAAAGTACGAATCTTTGGTTCATGAGATTTCAAGCATGCAACTGGTTTTTGTTCTATATGCACACTTTTTATTCATTTCTGTCACCTTTTGAATGTTTTCCACTTTTGGGTCACTGTGCAGGCTTTCGGTGATTTGGAACCCATCTACACTTTCGAAGGCACTTATGACATCAACGCCCTGGTGACAGGTAGGGAAATCACCGGCATTGCCAGCTTCAAGCCAGCAGCATCAAGCCAACGAAGCCGCCTGTAGCTGTGAAGCTTCTCTGAATTTCCAGAGCTCTCTGGACAACTTTGTTTAATAAGTAACAAGGTTGGCTGATGCCAAGGTGGTTTTAAATAAGAAACAATCATGAGACATGGAGTGAATACATCCATCGGCGACCACAACAAATAAATTTGCCTTATAAATTCTTCTTGTTGAACATTGTATTCTTATAGTTATGAAAGACACAATAAATCTTAGCAGAAACAAATCCCTGGTCACCAAACTAGGGTTTCCCCTGAATCTTTTGTAGACTTACACCTTGCATAGTTGTTATGTCTCACAATATCTTAGGGATTAGTAAGGCGGAACCGCGCTTCGCCATAAGTTCGAGTGACATGTTTTGCGATGCAATCAACATGGAGTTCTCATCTTTTCACCAAAATGACATAAAGAAATAGTACTTTTTGAAACTTAAGCTTAAAGCTTGCCGAAACAGGGACAATGGAAAGCTTGCACAGGCGTTGTATCGTATGGACCAAAAGCTCTGATGACCCTAACCGAAGCAAATTCGCACGAAAAGTTGTTGGTTTGGTTGGGTTTTTGGAAAATAAGGCTTAAGGGGTAGCTGAACGTCACAAGCAGTTGCAACTAGCATCTTTGATTACAACTTCTAAAGTGTCTTCTTCTCCCCATCAATAGAGCCGTTGGGCACCCAGTTCTCAAAAATACCAGAAAAAGAAAATAAAAAACAAAGTGTATATAATTCAACTCCAAATCACCATGATTATATTCCATTTAGCTAAATCACAGATTAAGCAACATTAAGCCTCACCTTAAACAATTGCAATGGTACTAATTAACCCACCATTACTTTTTCTTCAAAAATAACAAACTCCATTTCCTAATTAACGATACACTTTCCCTTTCCTTTTTTTACCAATTACCAATTGGGCTCCTACCACCACCACCGCCATTCAATTCCCTCTGTTTGTTGGCGTCTCGCTCCAAACCCAAACTCCTAATCTTCAGCTGAAACTGCGCCACCGCCGCCAAAAACCTCACCGCCTGAGCCGAGTTCAGCATATCCACCAGCTTCGTCGCCATCGTCGTTCTCAGCAAGTTCGAATTCGCCAGCACAGACTCCAATGCCGATTTCAACTCGTCGATCGCCACGTCCTCCTCCACGATCTCGCCGTTCGAGAACTTCCCGTATCGCCGCGCCACATCCACCAGCGGCGGCGCCGCCACGCTCTCGTGAATCTTCGCCAGCTTGTCGTTGAGCGCGCGCTCCTCCACCCTGGTCTCCTCCATCAGCCGGGCCATCCTGACCCGCTGCCCATCGCTCAAATCGGGCACCGACTCGGTCAGGAGCCGGAATGCGAGACCCGGTTTGTACCCGGCGATCCAAAGCAGGGACCTTTCGAGCGAAGTGAACCACGGGGGAGAAAACACTAGGAAAACATCGCGCTGGGCAATCCTCGATTTTTCGTCATAGTACTGCTGATAATGAAGAAGAACCCGAGACACCAAATCTCTGAGGTCTTCGTCTCGGGCTTCATTGATTCGTTGTTGGGCCGAGAGAAGTTCGTCTAAGAAATGTTCTTGGCGAACCAGCCAGGCTTCAAAGAATTCCCCGAATACGTTTGATATTGAGCCGCTGTCGGACCTGTTAGTCATAGAAAAGAAAAGACCAAAACAGGGAAGGTGGGTTGGTTGTGTGGGATTTTAAGACAAGGAAGAAGAAAACAGAGAGAAGGGAATGTTTAAATAGGAGCTGGGATTTCAAAGGTGGAATATAAAGTTTGGGTCTTTGGCTGTATTTCGCTTCGTGGGCAAGTAATGGTAATGGTAATGGAGGATACTTCGAGAGCAAGGTTTATGCATTTGGTTTTGTGGACAGAGACAGGGGACTGGGTTGAGCCCTTTCTAAGAGACGCGTGTGAAGATGGACGCCATTATAGAAGAGAGATTTTAGGACTGCGTGTGACAAGTGAGTGGAGTGTGATATTAAACGGTGGCTTTCAATTCAGCCACTAAAAAAGACACCGACCGACTGATGAGAAAGAGAGAGAGGATGATCTCGGTGGGTTTTGTCGTTTAGTGTATTCAGAGAGGGGCGAAGAACAAGTGCAGAAGAGGAAAGGGAAGGGAAAAGGCTCAAAAGAGGCTTGTGATTATGAATTGTGATTCTTTGTTCATCGCATGTGTTTTTGTCAGAGGCAGCTTTGATTTGACAAGAAAGGAAGGGGTTGAGGGGTTGAAGGGTTGAAGGGTTGAAGGGTTGGAGTGGGGTTGGTTTTGTTTGATGCGAAATGAAATGAATGGCTTCAATTCAAGGCTCAAGGCAGAAATGTCGCTCGGCTGCTGCCATGGATAGATAATTGGCTGAGGGGGCAACACGTCTCAAGGCCGCAAAGTGGAGAGATTGTGTGAAGACAAGTCATCTTTTTTGGAAGAAAAAAATTAAGTCATCGTTTTTGGGGAGTTAAAAACCCTCAAGGGAAGGACGCCTTTCCAACAGACAAATGTTTTTTTATGCAACTTAATGGCCAAGGAAGGGAGGGGGGCAAAGTACCGAAAAAGAGGTTGAAGGATGCTTAGGCAGGGTGTGTGTGTGTATATTGATGGGACAAAATAAATAAAGGGGGCAGTTCCAAGTGATTTTGCATGCAATGAAGTTGAGGGCCAGGTGGCAGTTGGCTTGACTTTTAATGACGAGAAATTGGCTGTAGGATGAGAATTTGAGCAAAAAGCTGCTTAATTGGTCTTTGTTTTGCTACTTGTTTACGTGTACCAATTGATGGGGGTGGTGATATTTTAGGAGAAGCTTGTTTTGCCAATTGGCCATATGTTGATCAGCCAGCGCTAAGTGGTGGCTACTACATGGCTAGGAATTTCCAACGAGGTTTAGCCTTGTAACCTTCTGTAACACCAACACAAATAGACTGATCACTAAATTGCATCTGAACAAAAATTACATCTCAGCTTTATGGAACCACCAATCAACAAAAACCCATTTCACAGCTTCGGTTTAAAGAAAAAAGAAAGAAAGAAAGAAAGGCCAAGTTCATCTATGGAATTTGAAATCACATATGGAATGGGGATTAACCGAAGCTTTTAGATTCCCAAGTACACAAATCACGCGTGAGAATTACACCAGTCAAAAATTCCTTAACTAGACTTGATACAGATAGCGTGAAGGTTTGATCATGGAAACATATCCAACATACAACCAAGACAACCCATCGCAGCGGTCAAACATGAAGAAATACAAGCAGTAAGAAGCACATTTCCTAAGCAAAAGCGCCTTATAGCAAATATAGGCTAGCCTCAATGTCGAACAAAACAGAGTGTTTTCACGAAGCTAAGCAAAACTTGCCCTGCTAATGATCATCTTTTCTTGAAACCATACTTTTTCCGTTCGTAGAAAAGATCTGTTTTGGCACTTCCCAGATTCACAATTTTCGGACACCCATCTCTATCTTTCTCCTGCTGAGTACACTCTTTGCAGTAATAAGCATCAGAAATTCCAACCCCTCCGCAGATAACACACCTTCCCTGGAAGGATCCATAGTTGCACTCATCACAGACCCGAACAAGTGTGCATGGACGCACATAAGAGTCGCAGATTACACACTTACCATCACATTTTTCACACAACCTTCCAATAGCTATTCCTGGTTGCTTCCGGCACATAATCAGATCAGGATGATGCTTTGCCATGTTCCTGCAACCAGACTATGCTAGTCCTACAATAGATGCACCCTGAATCATCCATACATGGGTGTCAGTGATCTCCCAAAGAGAAGAGAACAAGCAGCAGCATTGCAGCTTATAAATCAACAAGATCAAAACTGAAATTGACTAGTGCAACTTGTTGACAAATGGGTTATAAAATCCACTAGATTTTGTGCCCAAGTTCAGATTATTAACAAAATCAATTGCAATGCTTATGATAATGATAGTTCCAAACAACATATTTCTTAATTAAACATGTTGACGCGCTAAAACCAACAAAGCATTCGTGTTTCGGTTATGTTCATCAATAAACTTCAAGCTGATTCCAAAAATCAAAAGTAACCCAATTTGCAAATCTGCATAATTTCAATAATCAACAGGGCAAGTAAAACAAAGAAAAAGAGATATCTGCTACAGTTCATGCCAAAGTGGTGGCATGCCAGAGTGTTCATATTCACAAGTCATGCAACCTATGGTGCAAATTAACATGGAAAATCAATCGACTATGATGATTTGCAAATTATTTTCTGTAGCAATATTCCAAAAATCAAAAGTAACCCAATTTGCAAATCTGCATAATTTCAATAATCAACAGGGCAAGTAAAACAAAGAAAAAGAGCTATCTGCTACAGTTCATGCCAGAGTGTTCATATTCACAAGTCATGCAACCTATGGTGCAAATTAACATGGAAAATCAATCGACTATGATGACTTGCAAATTATTTTCTGTAGCAAATTTTTGGGTCTAAATTTTCTTTCAACTTAGGGGTGATTGTGATGTTTGCCTAATTCCCAATGTCAATTTTTTACAGAATGCAAAATTTGGGCTCAATAAGAGTGTAAACGAATCTACATAATTTGAACATAACAGAACAACTCAAAGGGAATGCGGAAGATAATGAGATGTAGAAACATGGTAATCAAATGCGCATTTGGCCAGAACTTTTGAATATTAGTTGTATAAATCAAATTAAGCAGCAGTTTCTACAAACACGAAAACTAGAGATGGAGAACGAGAAGCAAAAGAAAAAACCATTCCTTACCGCAGCTGGAGAGGAGAGGACTGATGAGAGCGAGGATAGCTGGAGGGGATTCGGAGGAGGGGCTGTTACTGTTCGAGATGAGAACAGAAGCGGGGGATTGGCCCGATTCGGAATTGGAGTGGGGCACGGCTGACTGAGAGAACGGGAATAGGGTTTATGTTTTTTCGTTCCTCTTTCCTATCGAGTCTTTTATTTTTTCTGGTATATAAAGACAAAATAATGTTTAAAGCAATAAATAAAAAAGTATTTTGAGTGTTCAAACACTAATAAGTTAGTAAGTTAATTAACTATTCAGTTTGGCTTGCTTCACAATATAAGTAGAAGAGGCTCACCCCCCCCCCACTAATAAGTTAGCAATGGTGGTGGTGATCGCAACAATAGTGACGGTGGTGGTGGTAGTGGCAGTAGCGGTGGTGGTGTCCATGGCAAGGTGGTGGTCAGTGGCGGAGTCAGACTCAAGTACATATGAGGGGCTAATTAGAATAACTTTTCCATTTTTTTTCTAAATTATTACATAATTAGATGTTAAATGATTAATGAACTATATGGGGTTGGGAGGCCATGGCAACCTCAGGCATACACCTAGCTACGACCCTGGTTGTGGTAGTAGAGGTCATGATTATGGAGGTGGTGGCGATCATGGTGGTGGGGGTGGTGGCAATAGTAGTGGGATTGATGGTGAAATTTTACCTAGTTGTTTTAAAATTATTACCCTTTTGGAATTTTAGAAATTGACATCTACTTAGATGAATTTTAAAATTGTACTTATTGAGTAAATGTATTTGAATCTCAAATATACCACTTCTCCACCCTTCCCTAACCCATTTGAGCGTCAACTCATGTCCAAATGTATTGAGTAATTTAGCGGCTGCAAAGAGAAGTAGACCTGAACAAGTTTTGAAGTAACTTAAATTACGTTTAACCATAAACCGCTTGCAATCAACTTGTATATATATCTCATGAATTACAAGGTTTAAAACAACAGTAATATAGTAATACATTTTCCACCATTTTCCAAAACTATCCGTTTGAAGAAGTTCACAATGATGTAATTAAACAAGTCTGCACAAGCGAGGCCTAGAACAGAATTGCCTTCCATTAGCTTTCACCACTGCCGCTACTCCAGCAGTCACCCCAGCCCAAAGCACAGAAGACATAAATTGCTGCGCATTTCGCCCCGCTGCGAATAGGATGTAAATTTTTTCATGTCTTGGTGAACATAGAATAAAACTCGCACACATATGAGATCAAAGTTCCATTGTAATAAAGATTACAGACAGAAATAAAAGAACAGGAATACCTTGCTGGAGTGTTACAGGTGATGAGTTAATATGAAGATGAAACGAAAAGATTTTCTTGTTATACTGAATGTTGCAGTTGCAGGACTTGAATAACAAATTGTAAAGAGCTGAAAATGGACAACAAAATTATTCGGGCACTAAAATTTCTCAGAAAGATTCCATATACTTACAGAAAAAGATTCAGTCTGGAATGGTGAACTATCCCTTCTAACTGTATAGCGGCCACTAATAAGATCCATAGCATCCTGAACACATTTGAAACTATTTAAGCAACTACAATTAACTAGCAGTTACTCTCTTCTATACAGAAGCGATATTCCATATTGAGAAAGATAGAGGCAGGCAGATTACCTGCCGAATGCCATCATGAAAATTATTCAAATAATATCTTGAAAGAGCACTCATCCCATCTTTCAGTATTCCTCCAAATGTCTGTTTTCCATATCTGCGGTAACGTGGTCCCAGTGTATGATACAAAAAGGATATACATAGTTACCATAATTCTTGAAAATTATAGTATAAGTTGAACGCACCTAACCAGGTCCCCTTTCAGGGCATAAGTCCCAGCATATTCGAGGCTTATCTCGTCACCTTGCTCAGCCCACACTAAAGCAACAGAGTTCAGTATAAGGCTAAAAAATAACTACAGACATCGTCTGATTCATTATGGAATATGGGATATAATATAATAAGAATTCCATACATGCTCTAAATTTTTGATAATCTTCAGCAAACATAGAAATGCATTCAGAAGAATCAAGCACTCCAATCCTCTGCAACTGTTCATCTAGAGACTTCTGAGCCAAGTAACTCTGCATAATAAGATTTGGAGGAAGCAGTAAAAAATATTAAAGCTCCTTTTAATCATGGCCAGCACAAATCATGAAAAGCAATTACACTAGATAATTCTCGTATAAACCTGAGTAACATTCGTCCTATCAAGGCAATCAATGCAGTTAGACCTGACAATCCCTTTCTGCTCCTCCAGTACGCTTCCTTTCCCATCTATGAGTAAGTATCTGCTCCGCTGGAATAGTAATGATTAAAAACAGTATTACAGAGAGCCAGCATACCTGGATATGGGCATAGTTAATTCAATCTGATATTACGCTTTCATTACCCTTGCTTTTCAAATTGCTCCGAGATTTGCTCATATAGAAGCTTTAGGTTTTCAAAGTTTGAGTTCCCACAGACATGATGAAAGTCAAATGAAACGTATCTGCAATAAACACAAAAACTATTAAGTCAAAAACAAAATCTCAATTCCAGATGATAGATTATTTATAACAAGAAAAACAGACACATTAAGCTAGTGATATAATTAGTAGCCAATGGGTGAAGATAATGACAAAATGGAGGCTTGAATATGTAAACTGCAATCTTTAACAGAATAACAAAAAAGGAATCTACTTGAAGTGGGAGAGTGACTCAGTTGGGGATCAACATAATTACATTCATAAAAGTGCAAATTGTCACCTCACATTTGGCAGATTTTGTGCTTCGGCAGAAAATGCCATGCTTAGTTGACCTTCATCACCATGCTACAGATAAAATAAATGGAAATTGGTATATAAACCGGAAACATATGAAACAACATAAATCTTGCATAACAGTTAAACTAAAAGGAGGTCAAACTTGTGTAGCACATATAACTAGAATTTAAAAATAAAAACAAGTAAAAAAACTGTCTTATTCAGCAAATCCCGGAGCCACAATGGTGATTATGTCTTACGAACAAAATTTGTAATCTTTTCAGCTGGCCAAATTCTTCCTCTTCACAGATATAGCAGCCTAACAGTGAAGCTAAATTAGTGTGGAAGATTTATTCTTTCAAAGTATAATGTAAAAGAGAAGAAATCCTTACTTTATCAGTTAGGTCTACAGCTATTATCTCTCCATATCTTTGGAAAAGATCAAAGAAATGGCGCTCCACAACATTTGACTGCAGATAGATGGGAAAATTCAAAACACAACTCTAACAAGGGAGCTGCACCATGAAGCCAGAAGAAAAGAGAAAGGAGGGGTGGAGTTGCATATTGGACAAAATTACCATCTGCTCATGATCAATAACTTTAAGTTGTGGTTTATAGCTCAAGTCAACAATTTGCTCCCAAAGAAGTGGAATTGAACCTCGAATCTGAAAACATATGAAAAGGTATAATGCATGTTTTTTTTTTTAAGAAAAAGGAAATAAGTCTTCTCATATTAAATGATGACAATAAATGCTCAAAACCTCCTGTCTACTATCAATCTAAGGATTGATTGTGAAACAGCTTATGCCCGTTTAGAAAGTACTTTATCTAAAAGTGTCTAGATGCACAAAAATTGGAAATATGAATCCGTCCTTGTTAAACTATACATTTGTTTCACTCAAGTGAGGGCCAGTTCATAAAGATTAGAAAAGAAAAAAAAGTTCTACCATTATGATATTGCTCATATCAACAAGGAGCACTGATTATACTTTTCCAAAACGTTTCGTCCTCAGCCAACTTAGTTGATCATGTGTGTAATGAGCCCAAGATATAAGCTGAGGCCCTATTAAGCTTTGGAACATAATGTAAATGTACATATTCAGTTACAGAACTGCTAATACTATTCCCTAAGCACACAATTATTTTCTGAACCTCCAAATTGGGATTACCTGCAATAATGAGGACCTGAAACCTTCACACTCCACCAATTGCTCAGTTTCAATAAAATTAGCTACATCTCCTTCAAGGTTAGCTCCTCTTCTCCACATTCTTGTGCCTGGTGACCACATTATAGCATCTCATGCTTAGATTTTTTATAACTAGTTGACACAGACACAAAGACTACAAGAACAATCATCTCTATAAAATTGTACCTAGACGTCGGGTACATCTCCTTGAGAATATCGTAAGTGTGGCAGGTGAGTCTTTTAGCTTAAGCTGTGCAGCCTGGAAGCTTAAATGTAGGTTAAAGAAATACCATACCATTGCCCAATTGAATATATTACAAACCTAATTTCAGAATCTTCATCCCCCTTACATGGGCGCACATATGCATGCACAGAGAGAGAGAGAGAGAGAGAGAGAGAGAGAGAGAGAAATCTTAAGTAATAGACATAAGGAATCAGTAGCTTCAGGATATTTCCTTGTAGTAGAGGAATAATGAACCCATCAAGCTGCCATGAGAGAATAAATGTGAATCAGCGAAAAGTTTTCTGAGTTTGAAGAACTGACAACTTTTGGAAATGTCTTTGTAACCTTATACTCAATAAGTTCGTCCAAAAGATTTCTGTTCCAAACAAATCGAGGGTCAGCCTGGAAACAAAAACAAAATTAAAAGCTCAAACTCCTGACCAAGCAATTAGTAATTATAGATCATATTGTAAATGAGAAAAACATTTGACAGGGGCTAAAATAGCATAAGAAAAAGATTGGAAAATATCCATGAAAAGTAACATTTCTCTCCTCTATCTCCTTCTCTTTCTTCCGTCTCTTAAAATTCACTTCTTGGTTTATGACCAAGCATTTCCCCCTTCATCTCTGTTCTATCCCTTTCTCTTTTTTCTTCTATTCTTTCTAGTTTCCTTCTCTCAAAGCTCTCCTCTTGGTTCTATGCCAGCTAGCCTTTCTTTTCCCTTTTTTCCCTCTCACTTAGACAGAGTTGAGGATACCTGTAAACTAAACCCATGGCCTAATATCCATCACGTTACATATATGGGACAATAGCTTATATGCACCTGATATATCTGACATGGATTACTTCCAGGAAATAATCAGTTCAAGATAAACCAAATACTCCACGTTTCCAACTAACCTGCTTCCATATTGGTTTGGCCATCCATCCTTCCATTAACTTACGTCTTCTTTGAAAGCTGGTAGAAATTATCAAATATGTGTAATTAGCGTAAATTGACATGATACTTAACCAAAAAGAAGCAAAACTTACATGATACACGTCTGAATGTAATCACAGAATAATGACGAAAACAGCACCCTAACAGGTATGAAAACTTTTAAATTGTGTTTGAGCGCTAGGTATAAGAATTTACTTTAATGTAATATCTGTTTGGTAAGAAAAGTACAGCCCTGGAGTTGATTGGACTGTTTTCAACAGAGCCATGAAGTAAGCTTCATCCTTTTTCTGCACAAAGACATCAGAAGCTTTCAGACAAGACTCAAAACTTTAAAAATCCCAAGAGACGCTCAAATTAGTTTTGTATTATCAACTAAAAGAAGTAATAATAAAAAAACTTCACCTCTTGAAGAGTTGAATTCTTCAAAACCTCATTGCAGGACAGAAACTTCATAGAGGTTACTCGGTAAACAGGGAAGCCAAGAAAGGCCCCAACTTCGGTCCTCGAAGTTATTACAAGTACATAATTTCCTGCACCAAAAACATGAATTATTCAAAGAAACATCATTGCATCTAAATAGCTCAAGCTGAAACTCAAGATGCAAGTTTTCAAAACAAAATCCAATACACAAAATCTGCCAAGCAATTAACTACCTGCAAGCAATCTGATGGTTCCCGCCACACCATATATCGTAGAGGTTTTGGTTGGTCTTGCAGAAGAAGAAGAAGAATCACCTTATAATAATAAACAACAAGCACATAACTTCAGAAAAATAAGACAAAATTGAAATTCCATCAACAAAGCTAAAAAATTTATACCATTAAGTGGTTCAATGGTCCCGTCACGGCGGTCGATGGAGAAGCCTTGATCTGGAGCCTCGACGGATTTGATCACGAACTTGTCCTGAAACTCCTGCAATTCTAACTGCTCGTAGAGCTTGAATTTACCGCTAGAACAAGATTCACCGTCCATTTCCGCGAACACTAACTCTAGAATTATCGTTCTATATTGATCGAAGAAGAAAATGGTGGTTGCCAATTTGGAAATATCCAATTGACTGACTCCTCCCTCTGTTACGGGCTTCAGCTGATAACCAATGTCGAAGACGATGAAATGTATTTAAAGACGTTATTACCCCTAATGACTTTTAGATTGTTCAGGGATTTGGAGACAAATGAGGGAACAAAATCATAATTTTGTAATTTACCGTCTGTGAGCCGTGAGAGCAGGGGCAGCTGTGAGAGATGCTTGGTTTGCTCCGTTTCTGCAAGAGCAATGATTCTCTACGTACAACTGTACCGTAATCAGTTAGAACAGATATAATCGAACTCGAGGTGACAGGAGTGGATGACGTGGCAACATCTGTGTCGCGTCCGAAGAGTCAGTGCGCTGAAAATGAAAGATATATATTATTGTGTCAAGCAAAAACACTTTGCATTGCGTACACGTACTCTGAACCTTTTTCCTTTTTGTGGGTTGGGTAAAACTTGGAAACAGGAGTTGGACTGCCTATGGTAATATTTAAAGACTACCGCCGGACGGCTATACTCCTTTAGAAGAAATTATACAATAGTACGGTACTACCACGTGGCACTTGACAGGTGGTAGTACGCACCTATAAGACGACGACATATGGACAACAACTCCAACAAAGATAATTAACGTTTTGTTTTATATCAACGTTAACGTCACCGTCCATGAAATGAAACTTCCCCATCTTTATCCATCACCAGCGGCTTCCATTTCTGCAAGATTCATTTGACTCCTTGAGGAGTGGCTATGTTGGTGCTGGTGCCATCAGATTTTCATAAACCCTCTTAATTTCTTCCCCCAGTTTGTTCTTGGGTGTTAGTAAAGGAAAACATTGAATTTCTTTTTCTTTCCAGGCAAACGGGGGTTAATTTTAGGATCTTTGCTTCGAATTTGTTCTTGAGTCCATCGTCTTTTGCAATTGCTTGGGTTGGTGTTTGTTAAATGGTAGGCTCAAACAATATGGGTTGCGATTTTATGCGTGTATAATTAAAAATCTAAAATAAATTTTTATGATGTTTTTTATGTTGAAAGAAATTATGAGAGTTAATGGTTTTTTGAGAGATCCCAGTGGGTTGAACGAAAAACTCCATAGCCATGGCTTCTCGAGAGATCCAAAGACGGACGAAAGCTATGCAATATTTGAGGCAAAAAAGACAGACCATAGAAGCATCCAGACCAACATTAAACGGACGTTAGTTCCGCTTTTTTTCAGTAGTTGTTATCTAAGTGTCACCATATTATAGGTGCGTACTACCACCTGGCAAGTGCCACGTGGTAATACTGTACTATTGTATAATTTCTCCACATTGAGGTAGGATGTTTTTTTTGTTTTTTTTTATAAATTTTTTTTAACAAAAGGTGATAGAACTTTATTAGATCAAAATGAATAATGAGTACAAAGGACACAGACTGTAAATGGAGTCATTCCTATAACAATATGGCACCCATGTGTAAAACTTCCCCAATGACCTGAGCTAGTCAAAAAACTAACACGATCTGGAGAGAAACACTCTCGAAATTAACTTTCCTAAAACCCCTTTCAACCGCCATAATTTCTCCGAATCTAGTCCAATGACATCAAGAACCAAAACTAGCCACTAACGGGCATGACTCTGCTAGAGAGACTAAGAACACCCTCGGATCTGAAGGTTTCTTTCTATTTTTCTTTCTCTCTCTCTTAACGGCTAGGGTTTGTATAATTCTAAATATATGAGGTAAGAAGTTAAGAACCCTTAACGACATCAAAGTTTTCCTTTGGTGAATACAAAAGTTATAATGGCATACCCCAACATTTGCAATCAATTCAGTCACATGCTTCCAAGCTATCAATGGAAGCTGGTTTTGGTGCTAGTTCACATTTACCTGTATCAATTGCTAATAGTATCCCCCAAAATTTGCAACCAACTCTATCACATGCTTTGAAGTTGTCAACAGAGGAAGAAATGTCTCTTGTTCACAGCTTAAGGAGTATGGGATTTATGGGGAATGGGTATGTACTAGCATCTGAGCCTGTGGCAGTTTCAATTCAATTCCATTCCAGCAGCCAGTAAATGGTAGTACTAGTGGTACGGTCTACAGCCCCACAAAAGCTCCAGCCCCGTTTTTATAAAATTTTTTAAAAAATTTAATCAATAGTATAGCCTCGCGGCTGGGGTCCTTTTTATATAAAAAAAATTCACTGATTTTTTGTTTATTGTAAGAGTAGTTTAAAGCATTATCCATTACTTGAGTCTCTATTGTCCCCTTTTTATTTTTTACTTTTTAAGAGTTATTATCCGTATGAAGAATTTAGTATTTTTCTGTTTAATACTCGTATTGTACACTTACGTATATATTTTTTTAATAATATTTATGTTTCCCCTATACGTCTTAAAGACTCAGTAAAATACACATTTTTTTAAAAGCAAACGTAAAATATGTACGTATTTTTCATATTTAATACATGTATTTTTTTTTACAAAATTTTCAATAATACAGAAAAAATTCACGTATTATACACCTAATTTTCACATATTATTGAATAAAAATAATATAAAATATTAAAATTTAAACAGAATCATTTCCCTTAGCATACGAACTGGCGTTGTTTCTACCATATACCAAATTCCATCAAATAAAATAATGAATCCTGGTGGCTCAGGAGTAAACATAAAACATCCAAATGTCACATTGCATTCTGTGCTAGTAGTAATAGGAAGATGTTTGATTGGAATTACGGAATGCATACCTATATCCCATCAAGATCTTCGGCAAGATGAGGTGAACCATGTTCTTATTGCTGTATTCCAAGGAATGAACGTTGCTGAAAACAGCCCTGAAGTCCGTCTTGCTGCAACAAGGGCTCTATGTAATGCCCTGGAGTTTGCACAGACCAACTTTAAAAATGAGATGGAACGGAATTACATCATGAAGATGGTCTGTGAGACGGCCTTGTCTAAGGAGGTAGATATTAGGCAGGCTGCTTTTGAGTGTCTTGCTTCAATTGCTTCAAGGTACTATGTGGTGCTTGAGCCTTATATGCAGGCTCTCTTTGAGCTTACGTCAAATGCTGTAAAGGGGGATGAAGAGGCCGTTGCCCTCCAAGCAATTGCATTTTGGAGCTCCATTTGTGATGAAGAAATAGAGCTTCAAGAATTTGGGAGTGGTGAGAGTGGGGACTCTGTGCCACATTCACGTTTTATAGAAAAAGCTCTGACGTCTCTAGTTCCAATGCTGCTGGAAACTTTGCTGAAACAGGAAGAAAATCTAGACCAAAATCACAACATTTGGAATATTGCGATGGCTGGCAGGACATGCCTAAAACTTGTTGCCAGGACTGTTGGGGATGCCATTCTACCCCTTGTGATGCCATTTGTGGAGGCTAACATAGCGAAGCCAGATTGGCACTGTCGCGAGGCAGCCGCATTCGCATTTGGCTCAATCATTGAAGGCCCAACCACTGAGCAGCTATCTGGTCTGGTCCATGCAGGTTTAGATTTCCTGCTAACATTAATGAAGGATGAAAACAACCATGTCAAAGACACTACTGCTTGGACTCTCAGTTGTATATTTGAGCTTTTGCACCATCCTGCTCGGGGATTTTCTGTGATTTCTGCTGATAACCTTCCAGGGGTGGTGAGAGTATTGTTGGAAGGCACAACGGATGCTCCAAATGTTGCAGAGAAGGTCTGTTGCGCCATTTCTCACCTTTGCCAAGGGTATGAGGAAGCAGGAACCTCTTCCTCTCTCTTTACTCCATATGTCCCAGCCATCATTGAATGTCTTCTTTCCACTGCTAGTCGTCCAGATGGGAATGATTCTAGATTGAGGTCTATTGCATGTAAATCAGTGAATGCGGTCGTAAGGTATTCCAATATTGTAGAAACATCACAAATTATAGTTCAGCTACTCCCTGTGATCATGAATAAGTT